TGTAGCTGATAGGAAAATCAGTGTGGAGTTTGCTCCTCATCCTCCAACAACAACAACAACAAAAAATAGAAATACCAAATACTCAATTATACCAGTCCTAGATATATGCTTAAAGGACTCCAAATCTACAGATCACGGAGATGTATACAATCCATATTTACTGCTGCTATTCAAAATAGCTAAAAATGGAACCAGCAGAACTGCTCAAGAGATGAATATACCAAGGAAAAACATGGAGCATATACAAAATTGAAGGGTTTTCTCCATTTGCATTAAGAATTAAGAAACAAAATCATAAGATCTCCAAGAGAATGGATGAAATTGAAGATAATTATGCTGGCAAGATAAGCCACACTCAGAAAAATGTTTTCTCGTATATATGGAATTTTGATTTAATTGTGTGTGTGTGTGTGTGTGTGTGTGTGTGTCATGGAAATAGGACGGAGATCCTGAAAAGAGAGCTTCAAAGGGGTTGAGAGGGGAGAAAAAAAATGAAGAAAATGGATTACTTATAATGGAAAAGCAGAAAGGAAGACTTTTAAGGGGTGAAGATGCCTAGCAGGAGTAGGGCAGGAGAGATAAGGCAGAGGAAGTGGAAGGGGTTGAACATGAACAAAGAAAATCACATGCACACGAAAGAGCTATAATGAAACACACCATTTTGTATGCTAACTTAAAGCGTTAATGTGAAAATTACACTCTTTCCCAAAGAGCACGTCTAAAATCCAAGTCGTGCCATTTCTCATCAGTACTCCGTTGTCACATGCACTTAGTGATTAATGCAGTGAACAGTAAAGCCCAGAAGGCTTGCCTCCATCGCCCTCTTTTACAAAAATTGTTTTAGGCATGACATTTTAATTTACTTTGGGTTATATAAAGTAATTTAAAACAAGTTCACTTTTCAATGAAATTAAAAGTGTCGAAAGAGGAAAAACACAGATTTTAGTCAAGACTATGTAAATAAAAAGCAATAGAATGTCTGCCTATTTTTAAATTTATTTTCAACATTAACAAACATTGTGAGATATATTTCCAACAGGAAGGAGAAATGGCACACACCATTGAGAGCCACCTTTGGGTGATGAAAACCAGGATGACATCAATTTTAAAATTTCTGATGCCTTCTAAAAACCGCAAATCCTAAACATGGTGCAGAGTCTTCTTGTTCCTCCTTCCTTTGATATCTTCTAGCTGTGGAATCAGATAAAAGAAAAGCAAGTAACTAAACATGAATCAGCCACGACTTCTCCCTAAGCAGAGGAAAGCAATCAGTTCACAAATCTTATACATCTGTGTGCTGAATTGCAACCAACAGAGGACACACTTTCCTTTTGCAGTTTGTACGCTACAATGTCAGAGTGCGTATGCAACTGATAGCTTCAACACGTGATGCCAAAAAACCCTATCTTCTTTCTTAACACCCGGGGTTTCATTTGAGAGAGCATTTGGAGATTTAAATAAATCTCCCAATCTTTAAGAGCCTTCTTATTAAAAAAAAATAGGGGGGATACATGAATGTGAAGAAGGAATGTAGGAAGGGGAACCTTGGAGGAGGAGGAGGGAGTAAGAGGGTATTAGGGATTACACAAGTGAAAACATGAGGGCAGGAAAAATAAACGTTAAAAAATGAAGCAGGGCATGGGTGTTTGCACATGTAATCCCAGTACTTCAGAATACTATCATAAATTTGATAACAGCATTGTCTATATAGTGAATTTCATGCCATCCTGTCTTACCTAGGAAGATCCTGTCACAAAACCCAGATATCTTAATAAAAACTAACCAGAAAAGTGTACAAAAATATTTTTGTGATCACTTAAGTATAATTAAAAACAAGACAGAAAGTTAATCGTAACTGCCATTCTATTGATAATACTAAGCTTAACTTATACTTTCAATGGCAAAAAAATATAAAACTTAATAGTTTTAGCCATAGTTATTAGCCATGATGCATGGTACTGTCTGTGATCAATAGGTTTTTCAGTTTGTTGGCAGAAACAGTCTAAAAGGTGTTTCCTTCTAATCATTACAGAAGACTGCATAATTGGATATATATTGAGAGTTCAGCCAATGCCTGGCTCAAGCTGCTTGTGGTAACTGTTCACTAAACAGATGCTGGCCCAGGTAGAGCACAGCTCCTAAGTCTGACAGAATAACTGCTTGTTAGTAGTCTTTAAAAAGACGTACTAAAGAGCTCTCCTGTGTATTTCAAAACAAACTGCATTTTGTATTACTAGCAACATTAAGGATGTGGTAACATCTCAAAAAGGATCAATTGAATTTCTATCTAAATTTAAATATATTTTTCTCAGCTAGTTTAGTAGAATTTTAAAAAATAAAGTGATGATAAATGCAGGGATGGGGAGTAACACACAAAGCTGGGCACGGGTACCTGAAGGTGCCTGGATAGCCTGGATCAGGGTCCTTGCTAACTTTTTCTGACCATCTTTTTTCTTTTGTCTGGTTGTTTTCATTACTTCCAGTCTCTTGGTAGATTTCCTCCAAATGATCAAACTCATATTGACTTATGGCTAGAATGAAGAATAACAGTTTGAGAAGCGGTGTGGAAAAATAACTCACCACATAAATATTAGCAGCATCCTTGGGAAAAACTGAGGCTAGATGCAATTAGGAAACAACTAGTTGGGCACCTTCCCTGGCCCTCATATTCCAGGTTATATTTCATTCCTTTTTCCAGTAACCTGCTTAGCCTGCTACTGATTACTTCTTGAAGGAAGGAAGGGACCAGAGTCAAGGGGTCAGCTCGCATTCTGTTATGCTATGGGGACTGGTGAGCTGTTGTTTGCCTGAAAGACAAACTATGTGGTAAAGCTGATTGCTTCCTCATCTCCCTGTGGATTTCCTTTCCACAAAGTGTCCCTTACCAGTTAATTGCATTGAGGAACCAAATTCCCAAGAATCTCTCAACACAGAGGTCAGAAGAGGGCCTTGGGTCCCCTGGAAATTAGAGTTACCGATGGTTTTGAAGCAACATGTGAGACCTGGCAACCAAACCCTGTTCTTCTGCAAGAGCAATCAGTGCTCTTAACCACTGAGCCATCTCTCCAGCCACTCTTTACAGCTTTAAAATGTCTAATTTGTTATGCAATACCAAGTGGTCAGTCCTATAAGCATACATATATGAGCGACAATATAGGACTCAACAGTTCATTTACACACACACACACACACACACACACACACAGACACACACACCTTCCCCCGCCACCCAGACTAATAAAGGAGAAGTGGGCATGAATTTGAGAGGGAGCAGGTAGGTGTCTGATGGTCATGGGAGGAGTTGCAGGAGAGATGGTAAATTGTGTAAATACAGTACTCATCTACAGAATTCTCAAAAATTAAAATGGAAGGGGTTGGAGGGTGGGAAAAGGATGGGGAAATCACATATTTTAACTTAAAACTATAAGTAAAAATGAAAAATTTAAAAAGCTTTGAACTAAAAATGAGAAACAGCTACTGTTTTTTTTCCCCTTTCAGGCTTTTTTCACATTTTCTCCCAAATGCCCCCACCCCCATCTATTTCCCTTAAACAGTTAACTGTGGGCTCACAAGTTAAAAAAAAATTCAACTCTCTTCTTAAACACAAATTTTTAGAGGGCAGATATTCTCCTGGAATTTTAAAGATCCTTTTAGAACTTGGCTTTTACTCTGAGCCATATAGCTTCAGGTTTAGAGGAAAGAGACGTCTAGCAATTGCCCTAGTCCTAGGCCACAGCTGAGCAGGGCCAGCAGATGCGATCTGCTCCAAGGCTGCTTAAGCACAGTCTATAGCCTGGATGCCCCTCTGACACTCTCTCATATACCCCTTCCTGCATCCATCACTTAGTGCCTTGGCAGCAACCCATTGATGCTTTGCTTCCTTACCCCGTACATCTGTAATCAGTATACCCATATCCTCTTCCACCAATTCTTCCTTCTCTTTCTCCTTTGTTGCTGGCTCCACGGAAACCATGGTGGAACAGGCTGCATCCATGTCGTTCAATTTCTTGGCTTTTTTTAACTCATTGCGTTTTGCGACTTCGGGAGTCTCGTTGGACGCGCCTAGGCCCAGGCAGATGTACAAGAGCAGCCCCAAGAGGAAGGCTAGAGTAAGTTCTGGGCTCAAGATGAGGCTAAAGGCCAAGATCAGTCCCAGGATTAGGTTTAGACCTTGGCCTTCGCCATCCCAGAAAGCACCCATCATTTAAAACCTCTGGGACACCTGGAATAAATAAAGATGTGATACAATAGACAGGGTGCAGACTGGAGTGGAAAGACCCAAAGATATGAAAAGAAAGCCAACCATGGGGAACTGAAAGTTGTCCACACCCATGTTCTGTCTTGATATTGGATTGCCTCCTCTTTTTGAGGTATACTAGTCCAGTCTTCCTCCAAATAAACCCTCTTGATCTCTGTCTAGGACCAAAGTACCTCCACCTCATTCTCCCTTGGGGCCTTTCTCAGAGAGTTGAACTTCTATTCAGTCTGAAACTTGGCTTCCCCGACTGCCAATGCCACAGTGACCCAAGTCTATCTCAGACTATAGCCTTACTGTCTCTAATTATACTTCAACACTCACCAACTCATCTGACCTTTTTTTTTTTAATCCCATCTGGTCCAGTTTCCACTGCATGGGGCAGTTTACCAATAGATAATAGCTACATGGCATTAGAACCACAAAGCCCATGAGGAAAAACAAGCTGAATGCAGGTGAGGAGGGTCCACGGCTTGTGTGAGAAGTGAGAGCTCAGGTAAGAAGAGGAACTGAAGCTAGGTAGTGGTGGCCTCCCAGCACTCAGTAAGTAGAGGAAGGAGGATCTCTGAGTTCTAGGCCAGCCTGGTCTGCAGAGCGAGTGACAGGACAGCCTCCAATTCTACACAGACAAACCCTGTCGCGACCCCGCCCCCCCCACAACAACAATGGGAAAGAAAAGGAACTGAGAAAGAGGAGCAGTAGCTGAGATGAGAAGGAAAGCTGAAGTGAAGGCTGGAGGATAAGATTAGGGGTAGGGGCTGAGGTGAAAGGGTGTGGGTGGAGAAGAGGTGTAGAGGCTGAGTGAAAGCAGGCTAGAGAGGAGGTCTGAGGAGAGGGGTGAGAGTGAAGTGGAGACCCTGAGGTCAGAGATAAAAGGTGGGGCTGTGTGGCAAGGGGTGGTGGGCAAAAATGGGAGGAGACTGGGTGATGGATGAGGGCTGAGGTTCCTGGGAAGCTGAGATGAGGGGTGGATGCTGGCGTGAGACGTGCGGAGTAATGTGAGGGGTGGGGACTGAGGTGTGAGGTTGGGGCTGAGGTCGTAGCTAAGGTGACCGAACATCTGAAAAGAGTAATGAAAATAAGGGGTAGGGGCTGAAGTGAGAGGTGGGGTGAGAAGTAGGGGCGAAGGGGAGAGGGTCCTGATGGGTGAGCTTTGAAGCGCTGAGGTACGAAGTGGGGCTGAGGTAATGGTGTGGGCAAAGGGGGGAGGGGCTAAAGGGCGAGAGGGTACCGGCTGAGGTAAGAAATTGAGGCTAAGGTAATGGAGAGTTCTGAGGGGTGTAGATAGCGTGGAGGAGATATTATGTAGGTTAAAATTCTAAGTTAACGTCACCTGAGAAGTTCCACGGAGAGACAGGTGTATAATGTCAGGAACCGAAAACCCAGACTTCTTTCCACAAGTCGCAACAGAAAGGAAAAAAAAGCCTGTGGAGTACTATAGGGGGCAGCCTTCAGCCGAGAGCCACTTCCCCGCCCTTTGGAAAGCAAGCTCTACACGGATTTGCTGACAATTCGAGTGATGTGCCCACCATCCAATGAATGACCAGCCCGCCTATTCTTAAATTAGTACGACTTTCTCACTCCCCCTCCCCCACACACCTGGTTCTGTTACCAAGGCTTCCTTTTATGTTCAAATACATACCGCCATTTTACTTTTCTATGTATTCCGGATAGTATAGGGAAGGAACTAGTATAGACTTGATTCTGACACAAGTTTAAAAGGGAGTAACTCATCAGTTTCCACCTGGTATTGGTTCTGTCGAGCACAATCGTCTCAAAAGAATTTCACCGAGTGAAATTCGGGTGCTCAAACTTGGAGACCTGAGTTTGGATGGTGGCACCAAGTAAATGGTGACATGTGTTTGTAATCTGGGCACTACGGGAGCATCGAGGGTTCCAGGGGATTACCTCCACATATATCTGCAGTGTGTGCATCCTAAACATACACTTCTACTTAAGGACAGAGTGGAAGGAGGCATAGTCAGACCTCAATATTTCCCAGTCACACGGAACTATAAATTTGTTTCCTGGTAAAATTTATGAATCATTTCAGTCAATTCAGTCAGACGGGTAGTCAGAAGTAGATAAGTTTAGGAATTTATTGAAATTGCTACCTGGTTTGATTTGATTTGTAAGTTGGTTAATGTTTGTAGTTACGTACTTTTTTATTTTCGTGTTGCAAAAAAATCAAACAACTTTGCCTTTTTAATGGTAATTAAAATTAGCTTTATACTAAGCTTGAAATTACTTTCTCTTGCAGAGAAATTTTATGATATGTTCCTTTTGATGGCTTTCTAGTTTATTTTGCTTTTTGAGACAGGGTTTCTCTGTCTAGCCCTGGCTGTCCTGGAATTAGCTGTGTAGATCACACTGTCCTCGAACTCAGACATCCACCTGCCTCTGCCTCTGCCTCACGAGTGCTGCGATCAAACGCGTGCACCACCAATACCCGGCTTTGGTGGCCTATTGAATGCTTATATTTTACACTGATTTATAGTGGGAGATTAAAATATCAGTTTCTTTCCATATCACATTTCCCTTTTTGCCTCTCCTGCCTCCCATGAGACCTCTCCTTCATCTTCCCCTTTCTGATTTTCTGACCTGCGCAAGTGTATACACACACACACACACACACACACACACACACACACACGAATCTAAATTGTGAATATAAGACAAAGTGTGGTATAGTTTTTCTAATTTGTTTTTGTTTTTCAAGGCAGGGTTTCTCTGTAGCTTTGGAGCCTGTCCTGGAACTCATTCTGTAGACCAGGCTTACCTCGAATTCACAGAGATCTGCCTGCCTCTGCCACCCAAGTGCTGGGATTAAAGGCGTGTGTCACCAATGCCTGGCACTAGTTTTTCTAAATTTTGTCTAACATTATAATGTCCAGTTCCTTCCATTTTCCTATTAATGTCACAGTTTCTATTTTAAATGTTTGATTACACACACAACACTATATTACACATTGTATATGTATATACACACACCACACCCCCCACGCACGCACGCACGCACACACGCACCCATGCACGCACGCATTCTTGCTCGCTCACTCGCCAGCTCACTTGCGTGTGCGCGCGCATGCGCGCGCACTCCAGTGTGTGCACACAAGTGTGGGCATGTATGTGGTGGATGGTGAGGCAGGATGTTGTGGCCTGTGTGTGAAAAACAGAGGACAACTTTAAAGAGCCATTTGTCTCCTTCCATTATGTGAGCCCCAGGGATGAAACTCGGGTCCTCAGGCCTGGAGGCAGATGTCCCTGCCATGGAACCTTCACTGTTTAGTAAAGTGAAAATGTTTCAGTGACTATGTGCATCATACATTCATGTTTTAAAAAGCTGTGCTGGCAAATTGACAATAGGTCATCGGTCATTTTCTCTCTGTCTCTCTCTCTGTGTGTCTCTCTCTCTCTCGCTCTCTCTTGCTCTCGCTCTCTCTCTCTCTCCCCCTCTGCTCCCTTTTCCTTTTCGTCCCCTATTTCCTTTCCTTCTCCCTACCGCCTAACTCGTGAAAAGATTCTATGGACTGAGAAAGCCCCAGGCTGAAAGGACTGCACTACTTTGACTGAAGTGGGGAAGGGGGTTAGTAGACTATGTGTATCAGCAGCGGAGGCTGCAACCCAACGTGTGAAATGACCAGCACACAGGGGAGAAGCATTTTGCAGTGTTTTCTTTCCTGTCTTGCACTTACAAGTAAGGTCTATGGGAGTAGCATGGACAATGTTTGTTGTTTTTTTCTTTTTCTTTTTTAATTGCTCTTGTTTAAAATTTGATGGCCTTAATTACTGTAAACTTTTTTTTTTTTAAAAAAAATACAGTTTATGTTAAAATAATCTTTATTAATTTAGAGATGACATTCAATATCTGTGACTTCTTTTGGATTTTGTTTTTGTTTTTTTGTTTTTTGTGGTCATTGTGAGCAATTGCTTTTCCTTTTTCTTAGTTTCACATTCTTCCTTTGTTCTAAATTTTAGGCTGACATCTAGCTTTGACAATCATAGTATGTTTTATTTCCTGAGGGGGAATACCTTACAATGCTGTTTAGTTTTGTACTATTGGTGTGTTGGTGAATTTTTAAACTGTGTGCTAACTGCAATAAATTATATAAAGTGAGAAAACAAAACAACAACAACAACAAAAGCTGTGCTGGTTCCATTTCTTAGCTGATTTGAGTAGTGCAGGAATAAAATGTATGTGTATGTATGCCTGTGACGTGCTGATGAGAATCCCTTACAGGATTAGGAGTAGCTGCTTTAGATGTTAGCTCCACTTTATAATTTCCACCAGCACCATTGTCATTTCTTTTCTTTTCTTTTTTAACTTTTATTCAGACTCTTCCTCACTACTCTCTCCTCTTTAGAGCTCCCTCTCTCCCAAGCCCCTGAACCATTCTACCGCTCTCTTTCTCTTACATTCCCTCACGCTGTACTATCTCAGCATAATGGTGCCCAACCGCATGACACTTGGGCTCTTGGTTGGGTCACACGTGGTGTGTGATTGAGTATGCCCACACCAGCCTCAAGCATGGCAAGGAGCTGTTGCTTTTCTTCTTTCACATACCTGGGTCTAGAAACCTTGGGTGGCACTTGGTATGATGGCACCCAGTGTGAACAGAGCTGTCTGGCAGGCTCCTAGTTGATTGTGTGCACCCCACCCCAGAGCAAGAAGTCTGTGAGCAGCCATCTGCATCCTCCACCAATTAAGGTCTGGAAAAGGCCAGGAACTGCTCTTATTTGTTTTTTTTTTTTTTTCATAGCAATTTTGCCATCCGGACTTTAATGAAGTGGAATCTGAAAGCATTTCCCCCCGTTACGTAAGGATGTTTGAGCACCTTTGTTGAAAATTGGGTTGCTGTAGCTATGTGAGTTTATTTCTGAGTCCTCTGATATGTTCCATTTGTCTAGATATCTTCTTTTTGGCCCATAAAATGTAGGGCCAAATGTTTTGAGGCTGTACTAGAATTTGAGACTTTATATTCTTCTTTCTGTGTAGGACTGCTTTGGCTATGTAGATTCATCAGTGATCCCATAAGAATCCCTAGAACGTTTTCTAGTTCTGCAAAGAATGCCATTCAAACTTTAGTGGAATTGTATTGAATCAATAAATTGCTTTCAGTGATATAGTCATCCTTTTAATTCTGCCAGGTCATGAACATGGGAATTCTTTCCATTTTCTATTGTCTTTCTCAGTTTCTTTCCTCATTATCTGAAAGCTATTGTGAATGTGATGTATGCTGCTGTGGAATAATCCTTTTGTACTCTGTGAAGATTTGTCACTGTGATTGGTTTAATAAACAAGCTGCCTGGCCAATAGCTGAACAGGATAAAGTTATGAGGGAAAGCCAAATTGAAAATGCTGGGAAGAAGGACATAGTCTGGAGTTGCCAGGCAGACTCAGAGGGAGCAGGAGATGAACATGCCATGCATGCTAATAAAGGTACTGCCATATAGTAGAGCATAAAAAAGGAATATGGGCTTAACTGAAAATGTAAGAGCTAGTTAGTAACAGGCCTGAGTTATTGGCTAAGCATTTGTAATTAATATTAAGCTTCTGAGTGATTGAGAGCATCTGAGGACAGGAAAACTCCAGCTACAAATGGCACTCACTGTCTGATGTAGGCCCATGTAAGACCTAAAAAAGTTTTAAAACTGGTTCTAAATACACGAAATGGAGCCAGATGCAGCTTACTAGTCTTACAGCTTCATGCCAGGTGCGGTGCAGGGATGTGTCTCCCAACAGCTGCCTGTGAGATGGAGCTGGCAGCCAACCACCATGAGCTAAGCCACATGGCTGGTTCCTGCAGTTTATCACATGGAATTCAGTACACAGCAACTGTCTGTGGGCTTAAGCTACCAGCAAAACCTTCACCAGCATATTGTGTGGCAGGATTGGAGTTTTTGCTCATATAGACAGAAAAGATTACAGATACACAGTAAAGACAGATTCAAATGGGAATAAAACCTCTAAATGGGTTAAAATGTTTAAAAATATATGTACACATAGGAGATAAAAGAAACAGGGTAAAGAAAGTTCCTTAAAAAGGGATAGAATAATAAAAACATAAAAAGCCATGTAAAGGTGAAAAATATACAGAGAGTTTGGATCTTAATGTTATTGTATTTGACTGCTAAAAAACATTGGATTATAAAACCTGCTAGATTCAATCAATCTATATATTTAAGAAATATCTTGATTTCAAAATTTAAATCAAAAGGTATGTAACTAGGGGAAAGGTTATGCTTTAATTTTCACAGGAAATGAAAGACTATGGATTCATTCCAGGCTAAAGAAATCAGTTTTGGTAGAGGAAGACTGATTTAGAGGCCCTTTTGTATGCTGCAAATGTGTGCTACTTTTATTGTTTGGTGAATAAAGCTGTTTCAGCCAATGGACAGGCAGAATTTAGCCAGGCAGAAAATATGAACAAAGGGACAGAGAGAGTCAAGGAGATGCCATGTGGCTGCAAGGCATCACCTGTAAGCCACAACCACGTGGAGATATACAGACTAATAGAAACAGCTTAATATTTTAAGAAAAGCTAGCCAGTAATAAGCCTAAGCCATTGGCCAATCCATTATAAATATACATAAAGTTTCTGAGTGGTTATCTTATAAGTGGCTGCATGGACTTGGGGTAGGGAAGAGAAACTGGTCCAAGTGAGACTGAGTAGATGGAGAAAAGTCTCCTTCTACAGAAGATCCCTGAAAAATCTGACTACAAACATGAAAAATAAACCTAAAAGAACTATAAGACACACAATGTACATTTTACCTGCTCACACATAAAACAAAAAATAATCTTTGGCTGAAGTATGTACAACACATAGTCTATACTTGTATTAACCCAGACACATTAATACAAACAAACAGCAATGAAAATGGGTGGCTGAGGCGATCCAGCATTTCAAAATGCCTGTTACAGTCTTCTCAGAATTCTGTATTCAGAACAGCTTCAAGGCTGCTGGTTGAGATGATACAACCCCACAGAATAGTCCATTCAGGATTTAACCATAATCCCAAATTTTCTCATAGTTCCCCAAAGATAACAGCACCCACAAACAATAGGAAGCAGTCTAGAGAACTACATCCACATTCCCAAAAGCTGGGTTATGTATATTTATTATCATTTAAGGAGGTTGGTTACAAATTGTTATTGGTAATGGTCAGGGAAAAACAAAAGCTGAACAAAGGGGATTAGATTCAGGTATCTCATTCTAAAAAGAAAAGGGGGTATAGAAATGATAGTATAAAAGGGTAGATTATTAAATCTATTTTTATCCAAAAAATCTATTAATCTTAAATATTTGCATTAGCATGGGTTTTGTTTAATTGATACAAATTTAATTTTGTTATACTGTATGTATATTTCTACTCTTGTTTAAGGTATTGTGCTTTACAGCTCATTTAAAAATGTAATGAATAAATAAGAAATACAAATTAATATTCATCTATAATAGTCAAATTTATAGTCATGTTAGGTTTACAAAGTGATGCACAGATATATTTATATATCCAGATGGTCTTCAAATACTTTAAATATCTACAGATTATGGCATGTAATATGTTTAATAACCTAAGGCTTTTCATGACAGTGAGACACATCTGCTCTTGGCAGCACCAATCTAATTCAGAGACCATGATGGGCATCAAAGAAACTCCGTACGGAGTTTGCTTTCTTTATGGCAAAAGCTAGCCATGTATGCAAAGAAACTGCCCTTGCCTCAGTTGCTGATGTTAATGTCCAAACTGGACCAGCAAGATGCGAGAAAGGTGACTGCTAAACTTTGCTAAGACAAGGAAGGACAGTCCTTCAAAATTCCCTGCTTACAGGAAAGTCTGTCAGATATACTAGGCCTATAGGTCTGAGTTGGATGCCTGAAATTTTTTCAAAGGAACTTTGAGTGATTGTTCAGGCAACCTGAGGTTCCTGCTATTAGGTGACATTTTATCCTTCTGGGGTCCTTGGTGGAGATGAAGACTAGATAATTACACTTTTCCTTAGTTGTCATAAAAGTATTTTAGGTTCAAAACTTAGGAGTCACAAAGAGAAGATAAACAATATTTTCTCTAATTTTGTCAAATACAAATGGACTGAATATTGTAACTAATTCTTACTGAATAACTGTTTTGTTGTATATAATTTAACCACGTGAAAGATAAAACCATCCTTTTTAATTTGACAAAAGGGAGAAATGCTGTGGAATAATTGTATACTATGAAAACCTGTCACTGTGATTGGTTTAATAAAGCTGACTGGCCAATTGCTGAACAGGACAAAGTTATGCTGGAAAGCCAAACTGAAAATTCTGGGAAGAAGGGCAGAATCTGGAGTCACCAGCCAGGTACAGAGTGAGCACGGGATGAATGTGCCATGCTAATAATGATACTGCCACATGGCAGAGCATAAATAATGAATATGGGTTAACTTAAAATGGAACACCTAGTTAGTAATAAGTCTAAGCCAAGCATTTGTAATTAATATTAAGTATCTGGGTGATTATTTGAGAGTGGCTGTGGGACAGGAAATCTCCTACAGTATGCCCCAATTTCTTTTTTCCCCCTATTTCTTTCCTGACAACTTCATTGTTAGTAATGGAAAGACCGCTTATTTGGGTGTGTTGTTTTGTAGCCTGTTCTTTTGCTAAAAGTGTGTATGAGATCTAAGAATTGTCAAGAGGAATATTTGGTATTTGAGACACTTTAGTTATATGATTGTATCACCTTCAAATATTTGTATTCCTTTTATTTTTCTTGCTAAGACTTTGGGCACTATATAGAATAATAAATATGTACATACACACACAAACACAGAGACAGACAGACAAGCACACAGAACACCAGACAGGACCAAAAAAGAAACTCTATACCTGATCAACCATATATACAGAATGAAGAGACGATACTTAAATCAAGAAATGTTAACATGGAAGGGGGATATCTCACAGGGTCCCAACTCCAGACAAAGAACTACAGGCAAATAATGAATGTGGAGAGCAAGAGAAATAATCGTTTTCGGGGAAAGGTCCCCCTCTCTCAACTTAGTTATTCAATACCAACTGGTCATCCCTGAACTCATATTCACATAAACAATATAAGGACTAAGCATATGTGTGTGTGTACACACACACACACCATATATATGTATATATGTGTGTGTGTGTATATATATATACATGTATATGTATTTGCATATATATATATATACATAAATTAAGAAAAGGATATGAATTAGAAAGAAATCAGGGGATATATAGGAGGGTTCAAATGGGGGAAAGGGAGGCAGAAAATTATATAATTATATTCATATTAAAAATAATGAGGGAGCTGGAGAGATGTCTCAGCAGTTACGAGCAATGGCTGTTCATCCATCGGTCCTTAGTTCAATTCCTAGCAACCACATAGTGGCTCACAACCATCTTTAGTGGAATCTGATGCCCTCTTCTCAAATAAAGTTGTACATGCCTATAGAGCACTTAAAAGAAATAAATCTTTAAACGAACGAACAAACAAAAATAATGAATTTAAAAATCACTGTTCTCATAAAGAAAAACACATCACAATAATTTACATAACAATACCATCCACTGACCTCTTAGTGGAAACTTTAAAAGTCAGAAAAGCTTAAAGCAATGTACTCCATGTCCTGAAACCACAGTGCCAACCCAGCTAACTTAACCAAGCAAAACTATGTTCCAGGGTTGAAGAATAAAGACGAATTTCCCACAATGCAAACCAGCTAAAAGAATTCATGTCGACCAAACCAGTCTTGCAGGGAATACTGGAAGCAATACTTCAGACAGAAAAGAATACTAAATGTAGCCAAGAGGCCATATTCTGAAAACAAATGAAGGTACAATTACTGAAACACAAATAGAGCTATAAACACAAACAGAAAAAAAGATAGCAATCAACATAAAACTTCAGAAATAATTTTATTCAACAAGTGAGTTAAGAAACAAATATCCATTTTTCTGTTAGCTATAAGCAGTTAATCTTAGCTTTAAGGATAGGCATTGAAAGAATAGAATTAATTATTTCAAGCAAATGGAACCAGTAAAAAAGCAGGCACCACTATCTCAATATCTGACAAAATTGTATCTAAATTCAAACTAGTAAGATGACATAAAGAAGGCATTCTTATAAAGGGAACAATTAATCAAAAAGTCATTACAGGGACTGGCAAGTTAGCTCAGTAGTTCAGAGCACTTGCCATTCTTCCACAGGACCAGAGTGCCGTTACCACCACCTACGCTGAGTGTCTCAGAGTCTCTTGTAACTCCAGCTCTATGGGATCTAGTGCCTTCTTCTGGTCTGTGTGGGTACCCACTCACACAATAAGATACACACAACATATAAATAAAAGTAAAATAAATCTTTTAAAAACTCTCTTGAAATTCTAAAATAATAAAATTGTCATATGGAAAAATGAAAAATACAATCAAAAAAGTAAAATAAAAACTTTTAAAAATAAACATGTGTGAGCAATTTTCATACCAATAGGTTGTCATTTAGGCATATAGTCAATGAAATATTGTACATTGTTTTTCACACAGTATGTGTAAAATCGGATTAGCCATATGCTAAGTATTCAATAGACACTAAGAGTAGTAACTCATGTAGGAGGGAACATAGTTTTAAAGGCTTTGCTCCCCCACATATAAAAATTGTTTTAGAATTGATATTTTATTTCATTTGCTCCATAATAAAATAACCAAAATAGATTTGCCATTTATTGAAACTAAAGTGGCCAAAGAAGCAAAAAGTAGAAATGAGAAAAGTATTTAAACAAAAGCTATCAATATTTCTGTTCATTTTAAAAATCTTATTTTTTCACTTTACCAAATATTGTCAAACATATCTATCCATAACTGGTAAGAAAAATGCACATGTAACTGGATAAGTAAAGCCTTAAACTTCATCTTCCTGTCTGTAAAATTGTTCTAAGCTTGTTATTTTAATTACTTAGATGCAATAAAATAATTTAAAAAGTATTAAATGCTTGTGATTCTCATCAAAGGAACATGAAAGAAGTAAAACAGAATTGCAGTGTTGCCTCCAAATCATGCCTATGTTTTATTTTATCACATGACACTGTTTCATTTGGAACTTGAGTGAACTATATTAAATTCATAAGGAAATCACTAATGGATAATGAACTTTTGGATGACATCAGTGTTGATGAAACTTTGTTGGGCTTGTCAAAAGTGGAAAAACCTAAATTTCATTAAGTTCAGTAAACCTTCCTTCTTCATTCTTTTCTTCCTATTCTTCTTAACTACAAATACAAATGAGAGAAAATAAGCAATTATACAAGATTAATTTGCTTCCTGTATTTAAAAACAATGACCATCTCTGGGTGCATGCCTGTAGCATTTGTGCTTTATCTCAACAATTACAGAAAAAAAAAAAACATGCTTTTCTCTTATGAATCAAATCCATGGTTATTATGATGTTTATGCAACCAACCATGTGATTACACTAACTTTTTGGTGTGTGTGTGTGTGTGTGTGTGTGTGTGTGTGTGTGTGTGTACTCAGCTCTGAATCAAATTCAGAGTCCTGTACATGCCAACTCCATGCTCTACAACCTCAGCCTTGTAAGTGTTTGTTTATTCTGCTTTAAAGGTTGTGCTGGAGTGTAAATAAATCCATTGAGCTATGAAAGCTAGTGCTATTTCCAGAGGTGATACTTCCTTACCTTCCCAGACATTTGACTTCCACATATTTGATGGAACGCTCAGCTGTGAAAATGTGGGGAAAAAGAACAGAAAGAAGGAAAAAGAAAATGAAGAGAAGAGAATGCTAATCACTTAAAGATACTGAAAGAAAAGATATTCCTTAAATTTGGTGCTAAATGATGATGTGAGTACTAAATTTCTTTTGACTGGCATGAAATATAAAAATCACACCTAAATGGTGTTAACCATGTAAAACAATGCCACTTGAAGTGTCTGCTATTTGTCGTAGTGGTTTAAAAAGACATTGTTTCTGACACTATAGGTGACTGTATAACTGTGGCCGAGTACTAAGGAATCAGTTAGTGCCCAACCCAGCCGCCAACACTGTTAACTTCTGACAATTGTTCTCTAAACAGATACTGGTCTATATTTGATGCAGATAGTAAGTCTAATAGTTTTACCACTTGTTATTACTCTTACAGTGGTGAACCAAAGACCTCAGATTAACCAAGGAATTGCCACAAAGAACACACTTCATTTCAGATAAGTAAATACATGTATATTTTAGTCAAATTCTAAGAAAGTTAAATTGAATTTTGTTTGAATTAAAAATAGTTTTCCTCAATTAATTAATTAGAATTTAAAACAAGAAAGCCCAACTGAAAAGTAACTACAGGGGTGATGATTGATACTCAAAAACAAACAAACAAACAAACACACAGAAACCTGGATTTTCCAGTGCTGTAGTCTGCTGGATCTGGGTCCACTTCATTGAGTTCATCTTGATTTTTCTGTTCTTCTTCTTTTTCTTCCTCCTCATCAAAGATGTTGTCCTCTTCATTCCAGGTATCATAATGGTATTCACCTATTTATTTAGTAAAGATCATTAAAAGCCAGTCAGAAGAAAAAATAGCCTAATTCCCAACCAACAGTACCATCCACATCTGTTCTCAGAAGAAACAGGGGGACATGAGTAACCACAAAAAACCATAGTTGGGTACCTTCCTTCTGTTCATGCTACTGTTCCCTAATCTTCACACTTCTGCCACCTTATCGTTTGCACGGTGACATTTCTACCACATTCCCAGAAAATATCCCAAGAAATGATGTTCATTTCTTTTCCTTTGAAAAAGACATCAGAGGCATTGGTCACCTTGCATTCATTATACCAAAATACTTGTTTGCCTCAAGTATACAAATTCTGTGGTCAATTTTTCTCAAGCCATGTAATTATTACTTTCCCCACTAGAGGCCAGCACTGAGCAAAACCAATTTAGCTAGGGTAGGCAGCTGTCTCCCTCCCAGTGTTAAACTTTGCCCTTATTCCCTGCCTCTCCACTGCTTTCTAGCACCAACCGCCTCATCTAGTCCGCTAGGCCTTGTTTCCTTACCCTCTGAGGCCATGATTTGCTGTATGACTTCCTTTTCTGGATCTTCTGCTGTTGCCTCTGCCGCACCCTCTTCTATTGCTTGCATTCCTGGTTCCACGGCTGCTGCCCTAACTGCAGGCCCCAGCATGCAAAGATCTGGCCCCAGCAGGTACTGATCTACCCTTTCCTCGAAGTCTGGAGGCTCCTCCAGCTCTGGAAATGTAGAGATAACCTCTGGTAGGCTTCGGGCCATGCCTGAGGTCTGATCCTCATACTCTGTGGCTCGCACTGTCGCTGGAGTGGGCCCGGATGGTATTTGGACCGCACTTGAATGGCCAGATGTAGAAGGGCCAGATGTTTCCACCATTCGGTTTTCACAGGGGCGCCTAATCAGGACGTGGTCGTTGTAATAGACACGGTTGAGAATGGTGTGGATCAGATCCAGAAACATAAATCGGAAGCCAGCCATTGGAAATCGATGGGCATCCACCATACCTTGATCTGCTACAAGGTTTTCCTCCTCCTCCTGTCCTCCTTCCCCCTCCTCCTCAGCAGGTTCAATATCCGAGTCTTCCTCACCATCCACGCTCTGTCCCCTGTAACCCTCTTCCTCTGGGTTTCTTTCAGGCCCAACATTCTCCACCTCCATACTATGAACGGCCATTACTTCTTCGACTGCGGGGGCAGAGGCCCCGTCTAGGCTGGACTCGAGGCCTACCCTGCCGCTCTCTGCAGCTTCCCGTACCCACTCTCCTTCAAGGGTTACTGGGTTCTCTCGGCTCTCTTTGGTTGGATCTTGATCTCTTCTGGTAGACATGACACTATTAGGTATCTCCACAAAGCCTAGACTGAGCTGGGTTAGTGATGATAACGGCTACTCAAATATAACGGTCAGAACGATGTTAGATGACGACAATGACAGGGTGAATGGTGATTAAGAAGCTGATGGATGGCCTCTAAAGACAGTCAGCGAGGGGCTTAGAGGAGAAGGAGCTTCGGAAATGACAGCAGGTGAAAAACAAGTCTATGATAATACCTGAGGTGGTCCCATGGGAATAGCAGGGGCAAGAGGGCAGAAGAGGCCAGATGGAGGACAGCCCGCGCGGCTCTTCTGACATCCGGGGACTAGGTGGGAAGTACTTATGTCACAGATGATGTGGGCGGGGCTTATGTTTTTGTCCCCACATAGACTGCTTTAAGCTGATTTGTTGAAAAGAGGAGATTGACGGGCTGATCAAAAATCTTCCATTTCTAGAAAACACCATCTTTTCTTTCTTTCTTTGTGTCTTTAGAAAAACAGGGCTCTCTTTAAATTAGTTCTATCCCCTTCTCCCCTCCTCTTTTAACTGTGTCTGTATGCCAACTGAGTGCTGGAACCTAAGCTGGTCAAGAGGGCATTAGATTCCTCTAGAACTGAGGTTAACAGAATTTATGAGCAGGGACATCAGTGCTGGGAACGAAACTTGAGTCCTTTAGAAGAGAAGCAAATGTCTTTAGCATCTGAGCTAGCTCGTCTGTCCAAACCCTATTGTCTTGATTCTATGGTTATCAGCTAAAATATAGTTGTGTAATATGAAGAATTCTAAGTCGGGCAAGCTTCTCCTACAAAATGTACAGAGTATTTTAGGCTCACAAGTTCCCAGAGAATGCCTTAAAACTGGTTTAGGTATTTCCATGAAAGGAAAGAAAACAAATTTCCACAAGCAAGTTACATTAAAACACAATAAATGCATATGTTTAACTAGGAATTAAGGCCTATGGAGGACAAACACTGAACTTTTCAGAGGCCAATATTGCCTAAATGAGTTTCAATTTTAGTGTTCTCTGTTGTCAAAATTGGTTGCAAATGTTCATCTGTTGATTTGTAAACAGCTTCATATAACTTTTAAAATTAGAATATTTTATTAAGATTACAAATTCATGGGCTGGAGACATAGCTCAGTGTTGAAGAGAACCTGAGGACTCTGGATCAATTCCCAGTAGCTGAACAGGAGTAAGGTTAGGCAGGACAGCCAAACTACAGTTGCTGGGAGGAAGAAGTGTGGTGTCTGAAGAGTCACCAGGAAACACGGGGAGCAAGACATTCTGGCGGTCAGGTAAATCCATGAGCCACATGGAAGCACATAGATTAATAGAAGGGGGTTAACTTAAGTTGTAAGTGTTAGTTAGTAATAGCCCGAGTTATCAGCCTAGAATTTCCATTTAATAATAAGGCTCTATGTCTGTTATTTGGGAACTGGAGGTTGGGAAAGAAAAACTCTTACTACAAATGCTGTTCCAATGTGGGGCTAGAATTTCCACATAAAAACTGTCAAAGCTTAGAAAAGGACCCTAAACATACAAAAACAGAGTCACGTGTGGCTTCTTGATAACTGACTTTTCACAGGTGGACTGTTTGCTAGAAACAAGCAGATATATGGTTCCTTTAAGAGAGAGCTTCCTGCCTGAGTGTTAGCAGCAAAAAACTGTGTGACTCTTTTAAGAGGTTGTGCTACTGAACACTTAAACGGGGGGGGGGGTGGTTATGGGCAGCAGATGACACACTGCTCAGTGGCAGCATGGATCCCAAAACTCCCCAGAGTTGGTTTGGCAAAAGAGGCTCTCACCAGCCAGTTCCTCCACCATGAAGCTAGGCTCTCAGGGAACCAAGTGGGTTGGAGCCAGCTGCCAAAGCAGATGGTTTGGTCCTAGTCACACAATTTAACAGTTTAAAGGCTCATGTGATCAGAAAAAAAATTACAGATACACAAATAGAGAGATTCAGATGTTTAAAAAAATTGGTTACAGTGTATTTAAAAATATACATAGGTTTGGGAGAGAAAAGAAAACATAGAGACAGTCATAAAAACTGCATATAGTTTTAAAATAAAGTCCTTAAAATAATATAAAAAAAATAAGCCATGTAAAGATGTAAAATACACACGGAATCTGGATACTATATGTTACTGTGTTTTCTAAAAAAAAGTTTTGACTGCTAAGAGACACTGGAGTATAAAAGGTACTAGATTAAACAATCTATATGTGTAAAAAAATATCTTAACCTCAAACTTTAAGTCAAAAGATATGTTACTTTGGGAGAGATGTTATGCTTTTATTTGGCTGTGGAATCATTCCGGGTTAAAGAAAGCCTGGTTTGATCCAAGAAGACCCCCTGAAAAATCTGACTACAAACATAGAATCATAAACTTAGAAGAATTAATTACAAGACATGTGTTGTATATTTTATCTGCTCAAATACATAAAACAAAAAAAAAATCCTCTTTGGTTGACTTATGTACAATGCACTGTCTATATTTGTACTAATACAGGTATGTATCTTACATTTAAAAATTTATGTACTTCAGAGCAAGGAACCAGATACCAATAAAAATGCATGGGTCAGGTGATCTAGCAGTTCAAAACAGCTTTAAGGCTGCTGTCTGAGATTATTCAGCCTTACAGAACTTGCCATCCAAGACCTAACAATTATCCTGATTTTCATAAGGTTCCTCCAAAGATTACCAGTGCTCCAAACAACAGGTGTAGTCTGGAGAACAATGCCTACATCACCAAAGATGGGTTATAGATGTTTATCATTATTTTAAGAGTGTTGGTTACAATTTGTCATTGGTAATGGTCTGGAAAAAAGCTGAACAAAGGAGATTATATTCAGGGATCTCTTTCTGAAAAGAAAAAAAAGGGGGATATAGAAATGATGAGATAAAAGGGTAGATTATTGAATCTACTTTAATCTTAAAACAACTATTAATCTCAAAATATTTTACGTTGGTATGGGTTTTGGTTTATTGATACAGATTTGAAGTTCATTTTGTTATACTGTATTTATGTTACTACTCTTGCTTAGGGTATTGTGTTTATTAATTCATTTTATTTTGTGTTTTTGAGACATGGTTTCTCTGTATAACAGCCCTGGCTGTCCTGGAACTCACTTTATAGACCAGGGTGGCCTCAAACTCATAGAGACCCACCTGCCTCTGCTTCCCAAGTGTTGGGATTAAAGGTGTGAGCCACCATAGGTATTGTGTTTATGGAGCTCATTTGAAATGTAATGAATAACTAAAAAATAAAAATTAACAGTCAAACTTATAGTCATGTTAGGTATGTTTTCAAGGTCACACACACATGCGCGCGCGCACACACACACATACATACATATATATTGTCTTAAAATATTTCAAAGGCCTACAGAATATGGCATTTAATAACATAAGGCTTTTCATGACAGCAAGACTCATCTTCTGCTCCTGACAGCACCAATCTACTTCAGAAAAAATGATGCGCATCAAGGCACCTCCATATGGAGGGAAACCCTGTCTCAAAAGAAAATGAAAAAATAAATAAGAATAGTCAACAAATTGCAAAGGGACTCAGTCCCTGATGGACTAGCTCATAGAAGCCATCAGAGATGGATTCAAAGGGAACCTAGACATGGCGTAGAGCTTTAGCAGCTTTGCCGGGCTCTTTGGTGGGACAGGATCTTTATGAAGTAGGAACAGCTTTGGAGGATCTAAGGGACTTAGATCAGCAAGAAAAAGGTGTCCATTGTGTGGGAGAGCAGCCTTAAGTAAGAAAAAGTCAAATTTGTTAAAGAGGTCTGTCTGGGTTCCTGGAAGGCAAATGTGGTGAAATTTGTGTTGGGCCTGAATTCCTTAGTGTGTGTGTGTGTGTGTGTGTGTGTGTGTGTGTGTGTGTGTGTGTGTGGGAGGGAGGTGGGGGATAACAGTAAGCCAGATCCCCTGCCAAAGAACTTGTGGAAGGCATTAAAGCTGCCCAAGGTGCAGTTTTCAGAAGGCCTTCATGATGAAAAAGAAGGGGGAAAAAAAGAGAAATTATATAGATGCAGAAGATCAAATTTATATAGGGGTTGGGCAATTAGCCATCCAGACTAAGCAGAGCATCTTCCTCTCTTGCACATTGTCAGGGCTGAAGATGGTGGCTGGAGAGGCTAAGGCAGCAGCTATAGCCATAGTTTCAGTCCAGAGCCTCTCTGACCCAGGGAACCAGCCAGAGCAGCACAAGCATCAGGGGGAAAACAGGAGGTCACTCACCATTAGCCATGAGCAGGCTTGAGTCACATAAGCCAGCCTCACCAAGCTCATCAGGGCTGGAGAAATGCAGGGAGGTTCCAAGGAAGATCTCCAGGGTATGGAATGGCTCAGAATGACTGACAGTGAAAAGTGAACTCGGTGCCTCCTACTCATGCTCCTGTACCCAGTATGAATCCGTGAGAGAGACAATTAATACTAATTGCTAGACTCTTGTTGCATTAGAACTTGCTTATGTTTGACTTCAGTATCTCCTTAGTTGTGGCCTTCTGTGGCAATGGACTCGCAAAGTGCTTTAGCAAGGTTTTCTCCGCAACCCCACAATTCATTATGAGATAGCGGTTCAGGGCTTTGCATTATTGGCCTGTCCATTCTCTGGATAAAGGCCTTGTTCTATATGGATACCCTAACTCTAAACCTGAGTGCAGATTTAGAGACTCATTTAAGATACACGGAGTGTGCCTAAAGAAGCAAGCATAGGGAAAGAGTTCAAAAAGGATGCAAAAGTGAGGTGTTGCCCTGGGAGTTTTAGAAGTGTTATGGTTGGGTAAGACTAAAGTGATAACAAACCACAGATCCATTGGGGAAAGTTTCAATAGCCTGGGCCTGTAAATGTTGAAGTGAATCTAAAAGGTATGCACAGATGTTCCTAGAATGCATAAGGTTTTTACTTAAAAATCCAAGCCCTGGAAGTGGGTTACTTCCTTAGCAATTGTTGGCCCCAGATGCCCCCCAAACAATAAATTACCACAGTTGTTTGTTGGGGTCTGAACCTGAATGGACCCTATTGCTGAAAAGGTTGCAGGCTTTGGCTGCTGTACACT